CTTCTACATAATCTTAAATACCAATTGATATAAAAAAATCACATAACATTGTGTGTAGGTATAAATATATTATTTTTAAGACCATAAATATTAATTTTATCACAAAAATACTAGCTTTATTTTTTCGTCACCAAAATCAATTTGTCTTCAACAATTTTATCATGCAATTTTTCTGCAACAAAATCGTTAGTTCTCTGGACCCTTTTCCGTGTCCATTTTGATTTTGAAGTTGAAATAAACGACAAGAATTTGCAAAAGCCATTGTCAGGTTCATTTTCCAACACTGTGCATATGTTTCTGATTTTTTCTTGAACGGACAAAATTAAAAGTAGACAACATTCAATTGCCACAAATTATTTGATCCCCATTTCTTTAGAACACATTATCTTGTTAATTAAATCAATTCTTTCAACAACAATAATTTCCCCCTTATATATCTAAACTTTTTTTCTTTAAAAAAAAATACCCGATTTCACCCCATTATTGATTGCAGTGGATTTTTCACTGTAGTGAAGACCCCTGAATCACTACAATGCAGTTACATGTCGATTCGAAGGCTCTCTTAAAGTTGAGTGTTTGTATATAAAATAGTTAAGTGCATACATATTATAGAGTATTATTAGAAATTGAGAATGACAATTGGTTTTGTTGCATATGGGGTTAGGCAAGTCTATTAATAAATTGCCCAATAAAAAACAAAACAAAATTAGCCACTTATATTAGTGAGCCCCCAAACACATTATCTAGCCTTGCCAACTTTTATCATAAAATCAAATAGTACAAATGCCCATATCACTCTTCCCATATAGCCATACATAAATTAAGAAAAAAATAATAAAAAAATTAAAAAATGCAACCACAAATACTTATTCTTACAAGTCNAATCTCCCCATATCATGGCCATGCCTTTTGTACTCCAAGCCAAAGCTATGAGCATGAGGGTCATCATCTCTATTGGGTTTGGAGTTGTTTTTGTAGCCACAATTTTGCTCTCCTTTGATTCCATTGATGATGAAATTAGGGTTTTCAACATTACTAATAATCATCAAGAATTCAAGAATGGTAGTTTAGTGTCTTTATTTGGGAAGGAGATCGACGGTCGAGATCGTTTGTCGATTCCACTTCCCGATGGAGCCTATGGCCCGGAGAGCCTGGCTTTCGACATTGGCGGCGGTGGGCCCTACACCGGAGTTTCGGACGGGAGGATAATCCGGTGGACGGCCGACGAACTCCGGTGGGTCGATTTTGCGGTGACATCATCTAAAAGGTTAGCAAATAACAATATGATTGTAATTTGATGTAAAAATGTGCATTAAAAAATGTGATTTTTCGTGGTGTAATTAGCTCTCAAGTACAATAACTTGGATGGTTTTAGGTAGGTTGTTAAAAATCTTAACTTCTCCCTAGGCATGCCGTGATTGTAATTAATTAATAGTTAATTGATGTTTTACAATAGATACTTAATTATGAGCAATTAAATTGTGTTTAAGATTTAAAGAATGTGATTATATGTATGTATGGCTATGCGTGCTTATTTTATCATGAAAATATATGATTATGACGATGATGATAAATAAGAATGGATTATTCTCAGCGGGTGATATCATATGCATGCAACAATGCATGAATGTATCTATATCATTAGAGCTATGTATTAATATTAATAGATTATCATTTAGCTTACCAATTGTTAATAATAGATAAGACATTATTATTATTATTATTATTATTATTATTATTATTGAAATTTCTAAAACTGAGAAATGAAAGTTTTAATTTAATCACACTATTATCCATGTCTCCTCATCTCTTCTTTTGTGTGTATGTGCGCGTGTGTGTGAGAGAGAGGGAATTACATGCCTCTTCTTTTTATTTCTATAATTACAACATATAATAAAAAATTTAGAAAAATAGTATTTTGTTGATCATAAAATATCCCTTTTTCTAATATAATAGAAAGAAATGCTAAATATCGGGTGTAAAATCTTCTTATACATACATAATGTTTAATCATAAATTTTAAAACATCAATATAATACCTACAATTTTTTCTTACAAGTTGCAACTCGTCACTCGTGCATCACTCGTGCCGTGCGTTTACATCAACTACCTCACTATAAAACGTAAAAAGAAAAGAGAAATAAAATGAAATATTTCGATGTAAATATATAGAGATATATATATTATGTACATGAGATAACATAAACACAACATAGTATATGAATTTAAAGCGGCAATGAAGGGGAAGAATGGTGCTGTTGTCTCTTTCATGACATTAAATGAGCTCTTATTTTTCTTGTTTTTATTATGACATTATTGGGAAAAAATGTGAAATTTAATAAATAGTAAAGATAATATTAGGGTTTATTTAAGTAATCAGAACTTGGATGCATTTAGATTGGGACCCATATTACACATTTACACGTACAAAAATTATATGAAACTATCCATCACTTAATGTATTGATACTTATCCAAAGTGTATTTATTATAAGACACGTATCAATACACTATTTATAAATATGTGTAGATGACTCCATAAGTCGTATCATCTTGCTCTATAACAAACTTCATTACACATAACAAATTTATATAATACTAGTCATAATATTAATTTCATATTTAATGTGTTATGAGTATGTATGTGAATCATAATATAACAGTAGTGTTCGTTTACCAGCTCTAAATTAACAACTATTTTTTTAGCATAACATTTAAGCATATACTTTGTCTAATCAATATTTAGAAGTATATTTTTTCCATGCACAAAGAAAAAATCAAAATTTAAATGATTCATTATTATTAGGTACTAAAATGACTAATATTTCATCTCTTTTTTTTTTCTTCTAAAACTTCTTCTAGGGATGGTTGTCTAGGCCCGAAAGATCACACTCAAATGGAACACATTTGTGGACGCCCATTGGGCCTAGGCTTCTACGGGAAGACGGGTGAGCTATACATTGCGGACGCGTATATGGGCCTCCTTGTCGTGGGCCCTAATGGTGGACAGGCCAGCCCAGTATCAAAATTAGTTGATGGAGTTGCTTTTGGGTTCACCAATGCTTTGGATATTGATCAGACTAGTGGAGTTGTGTATTTCACAGATAGCAGCACAAGGTTCACTAGAAGGTAATATAAAAAATTAATTATTTTACTTCCATCGTTATTTGTATTTCTTTCAATTTTTGTATGGAGGCTTTTTGGATAAATCCTTGGATATCATGAAAAAATTTGTGTTAAACTAAAGAAATGAAAGTGCTTTAGAAAAACATAGTTCTCATAAGTTTTTCACAAAATTCTTGACTAACGATTAGCAGTTCGGTGAATCAGTCACACTTTTTGAACAAAAAGTGCATGCTTAAAATGTGAATGTCTTACATATGTTTAATTGTTTTATAATGTCTGACTTTTTGAGCATAAAGGATGGAAAAAAATTTATTTTAAAAAAAATTATGATTGTCCAACCATTACATCTGTCAACCAGCAACCCAATTTTAAATTTATTATTTTAATTTTATTTCCCAATTCATAAATTCTCAACCTTTTTTCATAAACATTGACAAGTGAATTCATCTAATGGATACAAGGAAAAAGGAAAAGTTAAAGAAAAAGATGAGATAAGATAGGGTTCAATATTATTACTGAAAAACAATGGTCCCAAAAGAACCCATATTATATTGTTCTTTTATACAAAGTATGGGGCACTCTATGTTTATCCTGTTTACCTGTCCTACCAAATGCCATGTCATAGGTTACACTCATCGACATATCCTATCCAATGTATTGGGAAGATAAAATTCAGCCCATGCTACTTCGAATTCCTAATTTTATGCTAAAATACTTGTGGCGTGTTTGGATATAATATATCCGCTAAGGCCTCGTTTATCAGGCGGGATATGATAAGATAAGAGCCTTAATCCACCTTATTTTCTGTTTACTAGAAGGAATTGGGATAATGATTAAACCCATGTGGCCTTTATGTGGCAGTCTGTAATATCTCTTATTTTGTAATAAATTACAAATTTAGCCATATAAATGTGATTTTGCTGCCATTCGATGTAATTCACGAGCCCTAGTTCTTCACTCTGGCCAAGGTAGAGCGGCTAAATTGGCCTCCAAGTTTTCCAATTCTTTGCTCAATACATCACCCATTACGGATTTTTCGCCCGGATTTGTGAAGGCGAAGGTCGATTCTCTCGAGATTTTGAGCTCACAATAAAGCCCTAGCATTTTTTCTTCTTCAGTGTCTGATGCGCGATTTAGGAAAGTGCAGAGACTTCTCGTCTTTTCTTTAGCCATTTTTTTTCTTTTTCTTTATCTTTTTTTTTTGTTTTTTTGTTGCGCCCGAAATCAGCGAAATTAGAGGAAAGTCTCCCTGGTTAGGAGTTCTATGTCTCGTTTCCTTCGAGTGTTAGGTTCCTTTCATCAGATTTTTTCTCGTTGGTTTTCTTCGTTTTTCATCTTCTTTATCTACTTGTTCTTCGTTTTCCATGTTCTTTTGTGTAGTCTCTTTTTTTGGTTTAGTTCATATTCTCTTTGCTTTCTTATTTCTAAGGAGCTTTCTTGTGTAGTATTAAGGAGCTAGGGTTCACTACTTTCCAGTTTGAGGTGCATCATCTGAAAAGGTCAAAATTCAATTAGAACAGGACATTAGTGTGGAGAAGAAGGGTAGATATGTCATTTTATTTACACAAGTATAATTTTATCATGCCTAGTAAATGCTGGATTGGATTATACTTAACATGTATCAAGTTTTGTAAACATGATAAAAAAGCTGATGTGTAAAGGTGATGGGATTACTGTGTTAAATCCCATCCACCCTAATAAATGAGGCCTAAAATTGCAGTTTTTTTTAATTAGTTAGAGTTAATTTAAAAAAACAATTATATAATTAGTTTGTTAGTGTGATTTTGGGTTTATACTAAAATAATTAAAATTTATTTGATGTAAAAAATAGGAGATATATGATAAGAAGTGACAGTCACTGAGTCAGTTAAGACTATGTGAGTTGATTAATAGTGAATTAAAGTTGATATGTTGTGTTAATAATTAATTGATATTATTTAATTATATTGAAAATATTGAGGATAGTGAGATTGAATTAAAGTTTAGTTAAATTTTAAGTATAAACTAAATATAAATATGAGTTGATTAATTTATAAACAAACACATCCTTAAATGTTAGAATGATTGGGATAAGGGCATGATTAAAGATTCATTTGGGGTCATGTTTTGAGTGAATTTGTCCACTTCCCTTTATGTACNAGCATTTCCATAGTAAGTTCTTAGTGAACTACTAACTAGTGATTAGATTTGTGTCTATTGCCTTTTTTTACTCGTGCAGGAATCACGTCTCGGTAATTATCAGCAGCGACAAAACAGGGAGATTGATGAAATTCGAACCGAACACGAACAAAACGACTCTCCTGTTAGACAATCTCATGTTCCCAAACGGCGTAGCGCTGAGCGAAAACGGGGATTTCTTACTTTTCGTGGAGACCACAACTTGTAAACTATTTAAATTTTGGCTCAAGACACCTAGGATTGGAGAACTTGAGGTTATGACACAATTTCATGGATTTCCAGACAACATAAAGAGGATCAAAAGTGGTGGTTTTTGGGTGGGAATCAATTCAAGGAGAGGGAAACTCTTGGATTGGATTATTTCGAACCCTTGGATCGGAAAATTTGTTGTTGAATGGTCTCCGTTCGATTGTACTAGGATACATTTGTACATGGCTCGTTTAATCGGGCATTTGGGAATGGGGATTAGGCTGGATCGAGACGGGAATGTGATCGATGTGTTGGATTCGAGTAAGGGAAAGAAATGGAAATTGGTTAGTGAAGTTGAGGAGCATAATGGGTATTTGTGGGTAGGGTCTGTGACAAGGTCTTTTGCTCTTAAAGAAAGAGTGCCAAAACATTAGTCAATTTAGAAAGAAGTGATAAAAAGATAATGTTTGAACATACAAATTTTATAAGTGGTGGTTATATTTTGGTTTTGTATATTATCTTTGTGTATATGATTTGAAGATTTAGTTGTGTGACCATGAAATAATGTCACATTTCCATTTGGACCCGTATAAATTGTGTAAAATTATGATTTTCTAATTTTGATGTTGGTGTAAGTAAGGTATATAAAGATTAAAAACAAATAAATGAACTCAAAGTGTAAAAATAGAGCCAAAGTTTGTTACATCTGGGAATTAACTCTTAAACACTATAATGACTAAGGTCGATGAATTTTGTGAGTATAAATATGTTGAAACAATCAGTTAATGAGTTAATGACAGTCACTTAAACATGTGGTGAAATAATTAGTACTACTAATTAGATTTTCTACTTCCAGTATGTGTCAACCTCTACTAATTGGAGCTTCTATTGTTGAATTGAGGAATTAATTTACAAAACATAAAGAATATATATATATATATATATATAATGTTTATTTTCTTATAAATATACATTAAAAAAAGTTTATTTACCTTTAAATTCTCTATGCCAAAATCTTAATAATATTGTATATTATTAACTATTTTTCACATAAATACATATACATAATATTTAAATTTACTTTTAGAAAAATATTTGGTTGGGCCAATATTCCAGTCGATCTAGTTTGGATTAGGTTGACTGATTGCATATCAGTCCAAATTGCCCGATCCAGATATGCTTTAGATTAATCAGACTCCCAAATCAATCCTCCGAACGGAGGATTTGATCTTATTGTTGCACTGCAGTTAATAACCGTCAATTATCTAGCATTTTATTTTGTATTAACATATAAATACTCATATGTATGTATATTAATCCAACGTGTGTGTTGATTCAATAATAAAAAAGGGGACTGCTGTAGAGATTCTTAGTGAAAAAACATTGTTTTGTAGTAATTTTCATCTACTAAAAAAAAAAGTCTACAATATTCATCCTTCATTTTCCAATTTATGACAAGATGATAGAAACATCATCAATGCATGGCTTAAATTATAATTTATACATGTCTACCAATTTGTGGTGATGGGCCCCTCTTACTTACCATATGTGGACGTAATCAGTTTATTGAAAAAGGAAATGGTGACCCATGTTTGAAATTTGAATAGTGGTTTTTGAATGGGATTAAAGCTTTTGATTTCAAAAGGCCCATAACTCCATTACCCATTCAATTATTTTGACAAATTTCTTCAATTGTACTCCATAATCATTTTCAGCCCTATATTTTTCCATGGATCAAATTTATTTGAAACAAAGACCACTTGGTTACTTGATTCAAGATTTTTTTTGAACATGATTTATCTACAAAATAACAAAATTATTAACTTTGAATTATTGTTTGAGTAATTTAATGTTTCAACTTTCAAGCCTTTACATCCAATCCTCACACTATTTGAATTTATATTATATGGCGAGTAATCTAGGTGCACGGATACTTCTTTAAGCTTTATGTACTTGTACATGACACATATCATATTTGATACTTTTATTCGATATTTTATACAATATTACTACTATTTTATTTTTTAAAATTGTTGACTTCTGAATTATACACATTTTCTAAAAAATAATCTATGAGTTCATAAATAAATATAAATATATTGTATTTATGTATTCGTATTAACGTATTGTATTGTACCAATGTCTCAAGTTGTACTCATCATATCAGTTCTTCATGTTGACTAACAGCTTTCATCAATCCAAAGCACCAAATTAGTGCTTTTAACAATGTGTTAAAACTGTTTTGATTAGGTTTAAGGTGCCGAATATACTGAAAAATAAAGAGTATCGAGGTCAGATATTTCTGCAATTGAGCTCGGATGCTCGTATAAAATGCATTACCTAATGATAGAATATATGCCTTTTTTTTGTGATTTTTTATGTACTCTTTTATAATGGGTTCCTAGGGCTACTAATAGTAAGAGTGGTCTGGTTAGTGTTCAACTGACAGTACAATCAAGCATTAAATGTTGCACACTACCCTATGAGGGCAGACTTTTAGTTGGGATGTACTATCTCTCGTGATTCTACTGCAAGTTACTTTTATTTTAGTATTATCTGCCGCCTCAATGCACTTAGCTTGAATTGCTAGTCCTATCTCTCAGCTTATTTTATTCAAATATTGAGATCGGTTCTGCCGATGGATAATTTTCGGGTTGGACTACGCTTACGGTCACCCGGCCCAGGTGTTCTGCATACTTCTTGCTCGGCTCTCGTATGTTCCTACTTCTGGGATTTGCTTTTCGCCCGCAATTCTTTGACCCGAGTACTTGAATCAGCTATTTCTTCATTGAGCAATAATATTCAATTATCATTTCGTACATCCCGGATGTCAACACTTCATGGTGGTTTATTCGCAATTTTAAGGCAACATGAGGACAACAAACTTAATAATAATAATAATAACAATATTATTATGATATACTATATCTTGTTAATAGATAGCATAAATATACTTTTTCAATAATTTATTATGCGGATATTTTATTATTCTTCCCATAAAAGGCCCTAAATAAGAGCCAAATGGCGGTGGATGACTGGTAATTAGGATAATGAAATGAAAGAGGGGATGACACGTATTGGTGGTTGAAAGTGGGCCCACTTCGGACCCTTTGACAAGGATTTAAGTTCAACCGCCCTCGATTCCATTTTTATTTTTTAATATTTCATTTGCAAATTTTCTTTTTGTATTTATTCAAAATAGAAAAGGATTTTTTTTTTTGTTCGTCAAATATTAAAATAATGTATTAGTAATCAAAACCAAACAAAAAAATGTACATCATCAACCTTTTAGAATTACACAATTGATTAAGTAGAACAAAATACTAAAACATAAACAATGTGTAAAACTGATAAATGTAACAAGACACTCATGAATTTGACTTGACTATTTATTATTATTATTTTTAAAACGAGCAGAGCTTGAATTCATTTAATTAATTAATTGAGTTTGAGTCAATTTGGTAATGCTTCAAAAGTAATTTTTAATAGTTAAACTCGTTTAGACTTGAACTTCGTTCGTTGATGTTAATAAATAACTTAAATTCATGTTTGATTACCGACTCGATTAGCTAATGAACCTTAAGATCACGAGCTTGAGATTGACTCAGCTCATTTACATCTCATTAATGAAATAATCATACAAACAATAAAAAAGAACAAACGTTGCAAATACAAGAATAAAACTAACAATCTAAAATCAACAAAGTGAAAACTAATATACAAAGTAAATAATGTCTAGTCAAATAATTTATCGCCACTAACTTTATTGTAGCCTATAATCCTTTTTCCATAGATAACATAATTGGATAAATAACAAAAAATTATATTTGTTAAGTTGTATTATCTTTTCTTTCTAAAATGATGTTCACTTGTGTATTCTATAATTAGCGTTTTTAATAAGAGAATAATTAAATAAACTCGTTACAAGCAACTTAATTAGCATATTTAATTGATTACATTTCTCAATAAAATTCAATTTGCTAGTAAACAAATGAGTGTATTGTGCATCAACTTTATGACGCATATGGAACTATGGTTTACGTAACCCCATCGAAAAAACAAAAGAAAGCAAACAATGACAAAAAAATTCTATCGAGGGCAGTTCAGTAATTTCTCTGCCTCTTCCCCTCATTTCATCTCCTCCATCCCCTGCATACAAATCCCACTTTACAGAGCTCTCTCTACACTACACTCCTCAATTTATGTAAATCTGAGTAAAGAAACAAAGTGAAAAAGCCAGCTTCAGAGTTCTAATGTAAGAGAAAAGTGAGAGAGATGGCTTCTTCATCTAGAACCAAGATCAGCAAACTCCTCGCATCCTCGAAACGGGGTCGTTTAGCCCTTCCAAGTGGGCGCGGATCCCGTTCCTTCTCGAGCTCCGCCGCTGTTGCTGCCTCTCCGCCTCCCTCTGCGCCGCCGTCTCCGGGGGCGGAGGTGCTGGGTGGGTCGAGTATTTTGGATATGGTAAAGGAGTACGTGGATTACCGGAAGAATTTGTACGGTGGGCTCACGCACAAGGCATTGCTTGTTGATGCTGTTGGTACCCTCGTTGTCCCTTCCCAGCCCATGGCACAGGTATTTCTCTTTGCTTCTTTTTTTTTAACCTTTTTCTTCCCATGATTATGCTGGCGGTGAGAGTTTGGATTTTGTGGTGATTGTCAGCGTTTCAATCTGTTTATTTGGTTATTTATTGTGGTGTTTGTGTTTGTGGATTCATTTTGTGGCCTACCCACTGAAGTTTCTTGTTAAAATGCTTGTGGTGATTGCAAATCCATTTTTGCTGTGTTAGTGATGGCTATGCATGTATTTGATAATGGAAGAAATATAACATTTAGGGTGGTGAATTGAAGACTTTTCTACAGTTTTTGTGCTTCCACATACTATTATAACTGTTATATGGTTTCTGATTAAGTCTGTTTGGGAACCATATTTACTGTACTTGCTAGATCAGACTTTTAGCTTCTGTAGATCAGCCCACAGCTTGGCAAAAGTCTTTTGTGGGCTACTCTTATTTTGTCCCCTTCTTTCTCTGTTTGTGTACCCCATTCATGGGTTTTTTATGTTCTGGTATTACTTGTAAGTTTCCCTTCGAATTCGAAGGCTTTGTTTCAAGTTTTTGTTTAGTGCTTGCTTCCTTATGTGATTTCACTTTCATTTTTTGTTGTTGACCGTTGGAATACATTTCGTTCTGGAATGGGAAAGCAAAAGTGTTGGCATGTCATCCTTGTGCTTTTCTTTTGGTAAATTTTGTGTTGATCATGTAATTTATTCATATTGTTTAACAACAAAATCAAACCAGTTCTGAACTAAACCTGATATAGCCTGTATCATTTGAGATATTAGTATCTAGTGATATCTTTTTCTCTTGCTTTCATTTTCACCTGTCACCATGTTGTTTCCATAAATGTACAGATTTGTGTCTCCATTGGTGCAGACATATTGGTTTATATTGATCTCCAAGGCAGTCAGAACTTACCTAAATTGTGGTTTTCTATGTAGATTTATCGACAGATTGGTGAAAAGTATGGAGTCCAGTACTCGGAAAATGAGATATTGAGCAGATACAGATGGGCATATGAGCAGCCTTGGGGCAGATCCCGCCTCAGGTGATATTCTTGCCTTTCTTTACAAATAAAATGATAAATGAATTAGTGGGACATCATACTTTACTTAAGGCTTCATGTTTATTAATCATTGCATGATCTTTGAATTTTCTATAAATTTAAAGGTTAAAATAAGAGTTAGAGTGCTGCATAGCTGTATTTCTTCTAATTTTTATTTACCTGATATTTCATTGTCCAAAAGTTCCATAGTCGTTAGTTTCAACAGTTCTGGCTCTAGTAGAAACACTTCTAACTCTATACGTTATTTGGTAATTTGCAGATATGTGAACGACGGGAGACCATTTTGGCAGTATATCGTCAGTTCATCAACCGGCTGTTCAGACTCTCAGTATTTTGAGGAGCTTTATAACTATTATACCACTGACAAGGTCGTTTGGCTAGAGACTTTTCATTTGTATATTATGAGTTATTTAATGCCATCAAGAGCAGGGCACTTTTGGTATAATTTTATGCATATAAGATGGACTTTACAAAAATAACATTTAAGGTTTAGCCGGCCCTGATTACCGTAGGACCCAAGTAGTTGTTAAGAACTACAAAAGCCCCCTTGCATTAATATTTGCTGTAATTTTTATTATTTTCCTTTTTTTAACACGAGGGGTTTATCTTGTGTTCTTGCTAATTTCAATCAGGCTTGGCACCTGTGTGATCCTGAAGCCGAGCAAGTCTTTCAAGCCCTCAGAAAAGCAGGTGTAAAAGTGGCAGTCGTGTCCAACTTCGACACTCGATTAAGGCCTCTGCTGAGAGCACTTAAATGCGATCACTGGTTTGATGCAGTGGCAGTGTCTGCCGAAGTAAATTGACTCACTCATCCCCAAATTTCCAATTAACTTAAAATGCTCCAAGTTTATGGTGATCCAATCTTTGTTGACTTTGGTGTGTAAATATTGCGATTGTCCAATTGATATTCTGAAAAACAGGTTGAGGCTGAAAAACCGAATCCCATGATATTCTTGAAAGCTTGCGAGTTCTTGGGAGTACAACCTGAGGATGCAGTGCACGTTGGGGATGACAGAAGGAATGATATATGGGGTGCTCGAGATGCCGGGTGTGATGCCTGGCTTTGGGGTAGTGATGTAAACTCTTTCAAAGAGGTATGTTGTGTCCGAATAATTAAACCGTTGGCTTCACCATAATTTTTCCTCTTGATTATACTTTATAGTGTTACTTACCACAAAATATTCTTTGAAGCGTCTATTACAAAAGAAAGCCAGCTATAGTTGGAGACTGCAAATAGCCAAATACACTTACCTCACTTTATATATACCTCTTTCTGTACTTTGTCACAAATCTAAGTTTTATTCAAGGATAGAGTTTTTTGCTGGTTTGTAGTAGAATAACCTAATAACTTCCTTGGGCACTTTTCTGAATTTGCTGTTAAACAGATTCTGTCATTACTGTAGATCGGCTTGAAACTTTCAAACCATGGTCTTAAAGTTTCAAATTTTTGTTTAGATTCTCGATTTCAACGGATGACCATGTTCTTTGTTCGGTTTCGATTGCCAGGTTGCTCAGAGAATAGGAGTTGAGGTGTGACAATGGTTCGTTTGGTAATTGTGTTTGTTCTGGAGGCTTCTATGTCCAGATCACAATGTATATATTGTTTTTCTTTTCTGCTGTATGGAGGTGAGATAGAGAGATACCTATGTAGATGTTAGAATAAAGAGAGAAACTAATAGTTTGTGGACTTTATGGTTATGTGATGTTCCAAAGGTTTTCTCCTGCATGTTTTATTAGAGAATATAGTGTTGCATATGTCCTAAAGCAAACTGAGACTTCACTCAATTGGCAATAGGCTTTTCTTTTTAAATTTAAAGGCTTTATTTGGATGATGAAGATGATTGGACCAAGAGAACTGACTGTGATTTTTTTTAATATGAATATAAGTCAGTACATAACAATTTTTATGTAAAATGTTTATAATGTTTGCATTTATAGGGTATACATCAATAATTTATTTATGCATATTTGACTCCATATAAGATCATATAAACCATGTATACACAAAATATTGTTATATGTAACACTGTTCTACTATCAAATGTGTAATTGTGTAAATGACTATGGACAGAGGTAGTGTTTAATTGGTGAGCAATTGTATAAATGACTGATTGGGAGGATAAATGTTATGTTTAATTGGTGAGTATAAGTAAAATTCAATCTGTCATTATTGATCATCAACTCTATTTAAAGTTTTACTCTGAAAAAGTAAAATACATAAAACTAAATAGGTTTTTATCGATCACTAATTTTTTGCCCGTGCATTTGCATAGAAAACTATACGATAGAGGGAAAAAAACAATTGTAAAAATCATAACATAATTATTGAAAAAAAGTAAAGAATATTTAAATATTATTAAACACTTCTTTATATACAACGTTCGTGATTTTTCTATCGTCACAATCTCCATAACCACGAATCGTTATCTTCAGACTCCTCCGATTTGTGACTCTAGATAGTGCCACATACAACTGTTTGTGCATTTGCTAGTTTATATTTTAAATGTACCTTTGAAATTTGAATATGTTGTTGTTTTGTTAATAACTATTTGGATAAATCAAAATTACATATATCACTTATAAATTAGTTTTTAAATGATTAAGTGTTCGCGAATAAAAGCTTGTTCCAGCTCGTTTATCTGTCAATCGAGTCAAGTTCAAACATAAAATTAGGGTTGTTTAAAAGTCGAACAAACATGAGTTTGTTCACGAATGTTCAACAATGTTCGCAATCATTAATGTAACATAATTTTATTTCTTTTATATTTATATATATGACACTTTTAAGAAAATTAATATAAAATATGAAAGAAGTTATTTTATTTATTTATTTATTTCAAACTCAAACGAGTTTGAAATAACAAATGAATTAATCAAACAATTCTAAAAAGTTTATTTACTAAATTATTTAAATGCGAACGAGTTTGAACTTTGACGAATAATTAAACAAATGAGCTCGAACATAACATGAACAATGTTCAGACACAATCGAGCACAAGCTCAAGATGATCAAGTTTGACTCATTCGGTCCAATAACTAGACCTTCTATCCCTAATCTATATATATATATATAAAGAATTACTATTTACTAAAAATAGTAGCAAAAAAGTCAATGAGCATTTAATGCATACTTTATTTGGAAACTTTTAAATATATGCATTAATTGCTTTAATATATACATATTTCCAAATCATATATGATCAAAAAGATTTTTTTCTTGAATAATTTTATTAACATATGCAATTTTTATTGATATTCATTATAATAAACTATAATTTGATTTTTCATAATTGGTGTTGATAATATTTTAGTCAACATACCTATGAAAACAAATTTTAAGTCTTAACCATAATATTATTTTTTTTTTCAAAAATGCTGACTTTCATCCTAAGATATTTATAAACAATCGTAACATGTTAAATAATTCTCCCTCTAACTAATTAGCCAAAATCCAGTTGGTGAATAATATTTTTCGATAATATTTTTTAACCTTTATTTAATTATATAAGCAAATAATTTCTTTAAACTAAAATAGTTTACCATTTAAGAGATAATGATCACATCATTAAATAATTTATTAACGGCTAAATAATAAAATTAAAATATATTAACTATTCTTTACAGTTTCAGTATTTGATTTATTTGTATATTATTGTCAACCATGATAATTTTATCATTTTTTATTTTTGTTTGTTTCCATAATGAATTTATTGTAAAATATATATTTATATTGCATAGTATGTTAAATAAACTAATAAAACCTTAGGATGCAAATTAGAAAAATTTCTTGATTATATAAGGGTTTATTATTTGACAATTTGCTAAATCAAATTTTTTTAATTATTATGAGATTTTTTTTTTTTAAAAACATGTGTGTGTATTTTATAAACATTTATACACAAAATTTTATTTTAAACTTCATTACATAAACTAAGAAGAAGTAGACTACTTCTATAACTTTTATAAATAATAATAATGACATTATATGACAACAAATATTATAATAAAATATTAATTGAGTATTAAATGGTGAACAAGAATAATAGTAATTTTTTTTATATCGATGAATAAATATATATTGTAAAATTAAATTTATATTAGTATAACGTGTAAGCAGAATGATATATTAATTAATATGTCAACATTATGACTAGAATAAATATCAAAGAAGTGAAAAATTGATGATGCAAATTGTCAAAACGTACAAGCCCTATAGAAATGACTCAATTAATATATGTGTCCCGTGCCGCACGGGCTATGCACTAGTAAGTAAGAAGTTAATTTTAAGATAAACCTGGAAAAAACTGATCCGACCCGTTTCCACGACCCATTTCTAACCGGATATTGGAAAAAAAAAAAAGAGGAAGAAAAGGGGAAATGCAGTCTATGCAGATGTTTTTCTTGAATTTGGTAGGCGGGAAAATCTCCAAAACAGCAAAAACCCTAATTTGACCCTTCATCTTGGCGTTTCCCTCTCAAGCTAGCCGGAGACTGTGAGTGAGAAATTTGAATGGACAGGATACACGTTTCCGTGAGAGCGAGGCCTCTCTCCGCCGACGACGTGAAGGCCAGTCCCTGGCGCATTTCCGGGAACACAATCTTCATACCCAACCAATCTTCCAAATTCGATTTTGGTACGCTTGAATTACGTAATTTTGATATTCTGTTTGCTGAATCTCGTTCTCTTTTGTATGGAGTAGGATATGCTTTTTTTTTTTTTTTTTNTTCTCAATTTCCTCGGCGTTTAATGGATTTTCATGCTCCACTGTTTCGTTGTTTTCTTCTATTTCTCCTTCTCGAGTGTAGATCAGATTTTTGGGGAGGACTGTAGGACTCAAGATGTATACAGAGCTCGGACTAGGGATATAGTCGAGGCTGCAGTTGGTGGTTTTAATGGTATGTTGGAGATTCAGGTACCTTGGTTACATGTACAATGCTAAAACTTGCTGTCATTTGTTTCTTAATTTTCTGTTGTTTAAAGTTTAATTGCTAAAAGGGGTTTCAGAATTAAATTGACACTCCTCTGTTAGTTAAAAGCATGCAACACTAACAACAGTATACCAACTCCATTGGATATGTTCATTAAGTATGGTTCATGCTCTTTTATTATTGAACTTATTTTTTAATAAATTCCATATATCCTGGCATGCTTTACTGGTTGTCCCTGTTGCTGTTAGGAACTGTTTTTGCTTATGGCCAAACGAGTAGTGGTAAAACACATACTATGCGAGGATCAAGCTCTGAGCCTGGAGTCATACCTCTTGCTGTTCATGACCTGTTTGACATTATACAACAGGTAAGTGTTCCATTCTTTGCTTGTTCGACGCCTTGTAACTGTATGTCATAAACATACCAAATGGTAAGTAGATATGCATATTAGAATGCTATTATTTTGTTCCTTTTTGTTTATTTCTTACATTTTTATCAGTCTTTAATAAAAAAAACTTTAAATTTGGTCATAGGAAACTATGATAGTCTGTGTAGCTTGTGGGACTTTGGTCAGAAATTATGGATTACTAGATCAGTGGCCACCTACTAGAAAATTCGATTACATTAAGGATGAAAAGAAATACTCCTAATTCTGGTCTTAGTTTAAGCTCACTGTAAAATTTTCTTGGCATCAGTGGCATTTGATTGGAGGAATTCAAAAGTTGTGACACATTCTAATATTGTTTTTTTGGGTTTAAGGATATGGATAGAGAGTTCCTCCTTCGCATGTCGTATATGGAAATTTACAATGAAGAAATAAATGACTTGCTAGCTCCAGAGCATAGAAAACTGCAGATTCATGAAAGTATTGAGGTAATAATTTATGGTTTCATTATATTCAACTGAGAGTTGTTACTGAGAAGAAATATATGTAGTTTACACGAAGACATGTGTGGTTTACTTGAGTGTACATTTGTGAAAAATGTAGCGGGGAATATTTGTTGCCGGATTGAGAGAGGAGATCGTAGCTTCACCTGATCAAGTTCTCGAACTCATGGAATTTGGGGAGTGTAAGTTTTTACACTGTTTAATTTATTGTATGTTTCTTATTTTTTTCCCCTTTCCAGTGATAGAGTTTCATTAAAACTTATATAATATAGCTTATGAAACAGAAGTCTCTGTACTCTCCGTCCCTTCGTAAATATGAGAAAAATAGATAAAACTTTAACCTCACTCCAGCATTGCTGATGTTTGTTACCCTTTATTTTTTCTGGTTTTTCATTACGTGTTCACTTAAAGTATGATGTTTTGGACACTCATCTTCTATAAAAATTTGAGAACAATAAAAATAGAAGAAACATGACAACTTTTTGAATCATATTTCCCTGTAATTTGCAGCTCATCGTCATATTGGGGAGACGAATATGAATGTATACAGCAGTCGATCACACACAATTTTCCGCATGGTATTTGTGCTATTACCTAGTTACTGCCACATTCATGACTTATCAACTGACTAATATATGTTTGTTTGATATAGATTATTGAGAGCAGGGAGAGAAGTGGTGATGTGGCAGCAGAGTTCTCATGTGATGCTGTTCGAGTTTCTGTTTTGGTATGAATCATCTTTCCGTTTCTTCATCTCAAACTATAAAATTTATGTATTTTCACTGAATTGAATGGCTTTTCAATTCTATCTTTCCGACATTCTTAATAAGGTGAACATACACATTTTCTATTATATAAATGCAAAATATACTGATTTTGTGGTTATTAATTTAGTGGCACCATGAAAAGTGAGAACAATCCTTTTATCTACTACTTGAACCATATATGGAACATTAATGGAATTCCTTTGCATGAGCATTGAGTGATATGGAAGCATAACTTTAGTTCCATAAGGCTCTCTGGTGTGCTGTGCCTCATATTCCTTCAGAATTAACTTCCAAATGGTTAAATG